GTCTTGGATTTTTTTGTATTTTTGTATTTATTTACAGACCGAGTCTCGCTGTGTCATACAGGCTGGAATGCAATGGAGCGATCTTGGCTCACTGCACCTTCCACCTTCGGGGTTCAAGTGATTCTTGTGCATCAGTCTCCCAACTAGCTTGGAGTAGAGGTACGTGCCACCATACCTGGCTAAGTTTTGCTTTTTAAGTAGACAGGGTTTCATCATGTCGGCCAGGGTGGTCTCGAACTTTCCGACCTCAAGTCATCCGCCTGCTTTGGCCTCCCAGAGTGCTTGGATTCCAGGCATGAGCCACCACACCCAGCCCAGGATTTTGCATTTCAATCTTTGATTCAATTTGAGTTGCTTTCTGTACATGGTGAGACACGGGCCCAGTATTATTTCTTCTGCATCTAGGTAGCCACTGATCCCAACACCACTTACTGATAGGGAATCCTTTCTCCATTGCTTATTTTTGTTGTTTTATTTTCAAGTATCAGATGATTTCAGGTGTGCAGGTTTGTATCTGGGTCTTCTAATCTGTTCCACTGTTCTGTATAAGCGGGTGCCCAGCTTTTTAGTGAAAATGCCTAGCCGTTACATTGTGAGTGTTTTCTTAGAGTATTTCCTTTGTTTTAATTTTTTAAAAATACCTTTAGCAGCCTACGTGCACGTATTACTTTTCGAAAATACATGCGCACCGTATGTTTTCTTGTAGTAGTTTTGTGGTGTCAGAATTGAGTTTTAGGCCTTTAACATATTTTGCATTGATTTTTGTGTTGGCATGACATAACGGTCCTATTTCAGTGTTTTGCTTCTGAATGTTCAGTCTACTCAGAATCATCTATTGAACAGGCGGTCTTTTGCCCATTGTGTCTTTTTGGTGTTCTTTTGAAAAATGTGTTCATTATACGTAATTGGGGTTGAGTATTTGGTTTACTCATTCTGTCCAGTTTCTTAGTTTATGCCAGTAAATGATTGTTTGGATAATTATAAAAGTTTGTGTTTTTCATTCATTGTTTTAGCTTCTAAGTTTGTATTTGTTAACTAATTTCGCCGGGTGCGGTGGCTCACGACTGTAATCCCAGCACTTTGGGAGGCCGAGGCAGGTGGATCACGAGGTCAGGAGATCGAGACCATCCTGGCTAACTCGGTGAAACCCCGTCTCTACTAAAAATACAAAAAATTAGCCGGGCGTGGTGGCGGCACCTGTAGTCCCAGCTACTCGGAGGCTGAAGCAGGAGAATGGCGTGAACCCGGGAGGCTGAGCTTGGAGTGAGCCGAGATCGCACCACTGCACTCCAGCCTGGGTAACAAAGCGAGACTCCATCTCAAAAAAAAAAAAACAAAAACCAAAAACTAATTTCTACATTTATTATAGAGTAAAAGATACAAACGCAGATTAATTACTACCTTTGGTATATTGCATGACACTGAGACTGGGGTCCCAGAGACCTTATCATGCAGGGAGTGGGTGGACCCACTGGCTAAGTCATTAGCCCATACCTCATCCCTTCTTCCTTTTTTGTCTGATAGTCATCAGTGTCTGTTGGATAGGGGGTATTCAATGTTAGCTCCACCTTAGAAGTGAGAACGTGGCATTTGGTGTTCTGGTTTTTCCTTCTTTGCCTTTAGATAATGGCCTCCAGCTCCTTTCATGTTGCTGCCAAGGACATGATTTCCTCGTTTTTTGTTTTTTGTTTTTTTTTTATGGCTGCCTAGTTTTTTGTGGTATATATGTACCACATTTTCCTTTTCTGATCCACTGTTGATGGGTGCCTAGGTTGATTTCACGTATTTGCCATTGTAAATAGTCCCGCCAAGACCATTTGTGTGCATGTGTGTTTTGGACAGAAGGATTTATTTTCCTTTGTGTATACCCCAGTGGTGGGCTTGCTGTGTCAGATGGTAGTTCTGGTTTAAGTTCTTTGAGCAATCTCAGAAGTTCTTTTTGTGGTGTCTGAACTACTTTGCATTTTCACCAAAAGTGGACCAGTGTCCCCCTTCTCTGTTGCCTCACTAGTGTCCTTTTTTTTTTTCCTGACTCTAATCGTCATTCTGACCAGCGTGCGATATGTCTCATTGGGCTTTTGATTGGTATTTCTCTGACAGTTAGGTTCAGCATATTTTCAAATTTTTGGTTGCTTTTATATCATCTTTCAAGAAGTGTGTGCTTATATCCATTGCCTATTAATTATTTGGAGGGGTGGGTTGGCTAATTGATTTGTGTAAGGTCTTTAAGGTAGATTCTGGACATTAGAACCTTGGTCAGGTGCATAGTTTGGGAACATTTTCTCTCATCCTGTATGTCATCTGTCTACTCCGTTGGTAATTTCTTGTGTTGTGTGGTGGCTCTTTAGTGTATTAGGTCCCACATGTCGATTATTGCTTTTGTTGCAGTGTCATGTGGGGTCTTAGGGATATAAATGCTTTGTCAAAGCTGATGTTGAAGGGTATTTCCTAGGGTCTCTTGTAGGCTTTCTGTACTTTGAAGTCTTCCATTTACATCCTTCATTCATCTGAGTGAACTTTGGTAGATGGTGAGAAGTAGAGGCCTAGTGTTATTTAGTCTTCTGCACATGGCTCGCCATTTATCCCCAAGACTATTGAAAAGGGAGTTCTTTCCCCATTACTTAATCATTGTGTATTTCATCCACAATCAGGTGGTATGAGGTGTGTGGGTTTACTTCAGGTTCTGTGTTCTCTTCCACTCATCCATGTGGAAGCAGGTCCCCAGAGTTTGAGTAAAATTTCAAATCAGAGAGTGTGATGCGTCCAATGTAGTTTCAATTTCTCAGAATTGCTTTGGAAATACAGGGCATTTCCTGGTCTCACGTGAACTTCAGCATTGTTTCCTTCTATGTCCTTAAAAACAATTTGTCCTGTAGTAAAAGTATACAGTTAAAGAGCAGAGTGGGACATTTTAATCCATGCATATATACCTTGTGTAATGATCAAAGGAAGGCATCGACTGTCTCTGTTACCTTGTGTAGTTATTCTTTATTAGTTCTCTGTGGTTGCAATGTTCAGAGTCCTTCTTTTCAGGCTTTTTTGGAAAATATGGTGGGATACTGTTAAGTCTAGACACCCTGCTGTGAAGTAGAACAGCTGAATTTATTCCTGTCATCTAAGTGTAACATTGTATCCATTTCCCAGTTCCTGCCCCTGCTCCCCAACCATCAGCCTCTCTTCACCGCTGTGGAACTTTCTATGTCTAGGAGATAAAGTCATTTAGAGAGAAAGTTGATGTCGTTCTCACATGCATGAAATTATGCCGTGTTTGCGTTTCTCTTCCTGGCTCATTTCGTTGAAGGTCATGTCCTCCAATTTCTGCACGTTGCTGCAGATGCCATGGTTTCATGAATTTCTGTGGCCGAAGAGGATTCCTTTGTGTACTGTAGTTTCTTTTTCCCTTTTTGCATGAACAGGTACGTTGATTGGATACCTTCCCTATTGTGAATAGTGCTTCTGTCGCCACAGGAAGGCTGATACCTCTTCAACATAACAGATTCCATGTGCTTTCTGTGTATAACCGGCAGTGGGATTGCCAGGTGAACGGGTAGTTGTAATGTAAAATGTTTAAGGCACCTTCAACTGCTTCGCTTCGTGTGTATAATAATGTACATTCCCACCAAAAGTGTATAAAAGTGTCTTTTTCTGCATTTCTACGTTGGCCACTGCCTGTGAACGTATGGGTTGTTTTTTTGTTTGTTTGTTTGTTTGTTTTTGGTAAGTTTCATTCTAATTAAAGTGAGAGGTATCTGCGTGTGATTTGTACTTAGACATTTGTGTGAGGATTAGTGAAGTTGAGCAACTTCTCTTTGACCTGTCAGTCAATTTCATGTTTTCTTTTCTTGAAATGTGCCTGTTCAGGTTCCTTGCCCAGTTTTAGCTTGGGTATTAGGTTTTGTTCATTTTCCCAGTTAGAGTAGTGTTAGTTTTTCGTACATGTTAGATAACAACCCCATTCACAGATATGATTCTGCTGAACTTTCTTTCAGTCTGTAGGATGCTTTCTTTAATAGTTCATTGTTTCTCGTCCCCATGCGGAAGCTCTAAAATGATGTATAGTCCCATGTGTTTGTATTCACATTTGTTAGCAGTGATTTTAGTGTCCCATCCAAAAAGAACAATAAATAAGAAAAAGTATTGCCAAATCAGTTGCACAGTCTAAGGGTTTCTTGCCATAGATAATTTTTGCTCTTGTTTTCTTTCTTCTTTGCAAACTGCATGCAGAGATACAAGTTTTGCTGAGATACAGACTCCCACTTTTCTTATAGGAGCTTTGCGGCTCCAGGATTGGGTTTAGGTGTTTATTTGGTGTTGATTTGGTATTATTACATGTTTCAGACCCTGAAATGTTGACTTCTTTGTCTTGTTTTTGTCTGATACAGCACAAAGGGAGTTGTGTTCAAATTAAGCTGTGGGAAATCCTTTAGATACTGGGTTGAAACGATTCTCTCCTTCCTTGATGTTCACTTAGGTGACAGGTGTCTGAAAGTCTGGGAAGATCCATAGTGGAAAACGTTTATCTGTATTTCGTGGAGACTGATGGCCAGCTCCCTTCTGCCCAGGACTTCTGGAGAAGGCCAGCCCTACCACTTGCTTAAATACCGCCCATCTCCAGCTCTTCAGTAAATATTTAAGTGCTTCATTAAAGATTTAAACCTTAAGGAAGTAGAGTGACCCAGTGGAACTTAATTTAACTAGAATTTAAGTTTCAGAGTAGCTGGTCAGTAGAAGAAGTGTGGTAGATTGGGTGACATACTATGGTTTTTAAGGGTTTTTGGTTTTTGTTTGTTTGTTTGTTTTCCTTAAACAGAGTTAACAATAATCAATTTGAATAAAGAAGGAAAACATTAAACGGTTGGTATGTGTAACATGAACGCTGTTCCATGACTTGTTCAGTCATAGCCTCAGTTTGACATGCTAGACTATGAATCCTAAAGGCTAGTATACAGTTACTGCATTGGAGTTACTTTTCTCATTCCAACAACTGTAGAACATTTTGAATAGCATTTTGAAATTTTATTTTAATGAAAGCTTAGAAAAAAAAAAACCTTACTTATACACTAAAGAAAGTAAACATAAAATAGTCTCCCGCCTGACTCGCAAAAGACCCATGGCCTGATCCTGGCCAGCAGGAGCAGCTGGTTTTAAGGAGCAGGGACCGGATGCAGCTGAGCTGCCAGCCTCCTAGATGTGGTTCCCTGGTGTCACGGTCTGGGTGAAGGATGGTGCAGAGCCGGTGTTCTGGCCAACATCCCGGTGGGGTCCCAGCCACTGCAGGATGTTACTGGCCTACTGGGATTTGGGCTCCAGCTGGCAGGAAAGCTTGTAGCTGCAGGACAGAGAGGTAGCTGTGAGGCCACCATGAGCCACACATCAGGTCCCCTCTCAGTGCATGCCCAGCTGAAATCCTGGGTCCCCAGCGGTTCCCATGCAACAGGGCTTGATGCTGGCCGTGGAGTCACGGCCATAGGCTCTCTGTAGCTGGCCACAGGAGAGCCTCCTCTAGGCCACGTGGGGTGGCTGACACGTGTAATGTCAGTACTTTGGGAGGCCGTGTGGGGTGGATTGCTTGAGACCAGGACTTAGACCAGCCTGGACAACATCGTGAAACCCCATCTGTACCAGAACAACAATAGCAGAACAACAGGACATGGTGTCTGCACATGCTGTACCATATCCTGGGACATGGTGTACATCGGTAGTCCCAGCTGCTTGGGAGGCTGACAAAGGGCTTGAGCCCAGGAGGCAGACGTTGCAGTGAGCAGAGATGGTGACACTGCAGTGCAGCCTGGGCGCAGAGCTAGACCATGTTAAAAAAAAATGGAGCGCCTTCTCCCACCCTCTGCCCTCACCTCTCCTTGTCACTGAGCTGCTCCAGTCTTTTGAAATAGGTAACAAATTTCTCAAGAGGCCGAAGCCTGTAATTCATGGCAGCCACTTGGAGCAGCTGCATTTCCTGCAGAACTCGGACCTCCTAGAGACAGAGGAGAGGTTGCTGACACGGCCTGGGTGGAAGATGCTGAGGGGACCTTTGATAAGCAGTGAGAAGGGGCTGATCCCTGGGGCAGTTTTCTGCAGGGGCCCCATGCAGCCCCCAGCCTGTTCTCAGAGTTGGATGTAAATATCCCCTCCTGCAGGAATTGGTCTTTGATCCAGTGCCTTTCCCACTCTCTCCACTGGGATAGATTTCCTCTTCCTGTGTGTGTCAACCCCTCCCAGTAAACCTAAGATGTAGAGGATGGAGCCAGGGAGTGTCCTGCCCAGGGTGGACTGTGAGGTCCACATCCACACCCTCCTCCAATGTTAGCGTCCCAGCTGCTCACCTTCCTCTTCTTGTTGATGTTGCCCTGGAAGGCAGACAGAATCCATCACAAAGGTCAATGGCCCACAACCAGCCCCACTCCACCCCTTCCCATGCTGTACTACTGCCAGGGACACCAGGGTCAGGGGATGTGCGCGTGACAGGACTTGGATCTGCCTCAGACTCCAGGTTCTAGAGTAGGGGTCATGGGAGCTGAGGCTCAGGGACACTGCCCCAACTTTTTCTGATGACAGACAGGGAAACTGAGGTCTCTTATAGAAAGAAAGCACACAGTGACCCTGGAACTGCCTGCCCTTGGAGAGGCTCAATTTCACTCTCCAATTACGGGACTATCCTGGGGAGTCACTGAGTCCAGCTCAGCCCACACCTCAGCAGCTTTGCAGTCAGGCAGCTCTGCAGCTTCACCACTCAGGGATAGGGACTGGTGGCTGCCATGGAGCCTCCATCACGCAGAGGTGATGAGATGGGCCTGACACCCCCACCTCCAGGAGCAGCTGTGAGGCTCTCAGGAGAGGAGGTTTGCTTAGGGCTGAGATCTAAGGGCTCGATCCCGACCCTCTCCTCCCAAGCCTCAGGATCCTGGTTCCCAACCAACCTGCCCCAGGCTCACTCACATCCAGATCGTCCGGGATGGCCGAATCCAACCTCTGTAACACAGTCAGAAAATCCCCCAGGAAGGGGACCGCACCCTGTGCCAAGGAGGGTTGGGGAGGTGGTGATGAGTATTGGCCATCAGATGGGGCTGCCCACTGTCCTGTCCCATGAAATCCCATCAGCCCCTGTCTCCCAGAACCCCCCTCCCTAGGTCTCCCGGATGGAGCAGCCAAAGACCCTCAGCTGCCTTTCCCTATTCTCTGCCTCCTCTATCCCAGCTGACTCCAATCAGATTCAAGCCTCCTAGTACCTCTAGGGATATTAACAAGTCACAAGGACCTGTGGTCCCAACCTTACCCTTCCCCACATCCACTCTGAGTCCAGCTTTCCCAGACCCTTGCTCTTGTCTCTCAAATGGAGGTTTTCCAGGCCCAGTGGCCACAAGAGGACAGGGCTGGGGAGGAAGCACCTGCTGTCTCGATATGGAGGCCTCCAGCTGGCGGGGAAAGGAACCCTGTCCTGTGATCTCTTGTGATCCCTCTATGCCACAGGCTCACTCACCTTCTTCTGCCTCCGTAGCCTCATCTGGGCTCTCTGGTGGTTCCTCTCCTGGGTGGCCACCTTAAAGCTCCCCGCCTGCCAGGTGTCAGTGATGGAGACAGTGAGGCTCTCCTCCCTTCCCCCAGTTACAGCCCAGCCACCCCGCCCTTGGATCCCCAGGCACTGGTGTGAATCACCTGGCAAGGTGCTCATACCACTGGCCCAGCACCACACTCCCTGTGTGTGTCACCCAGTCATGCAGCCGGGCCACCCTGAGACTGTTTCCTCTTCTGTAAAGAGTGATCAAAACCACAGCTACTTCACAAGGCCTCCTTAGTACTGTTTCCTGTAGCTATTGCCATTGTTCTCACCCTCATCCCTCTGAGGAAGAACCAGGCATGAGCACCCGCAAATTATTTTCTTTTCTTGACCCTCATTTCCATTCTGTGAGGGCTGCGCTACAGGCTCAGCATCCCTTTATTTTCCAGATGAGGAAGCGGAGACCCAGAGCAGGCAGTGACTCCCCAGGGACCCGAAAGAGAAGGCGCCTCCTCCCCATCCTGGCGGCTCTGTCTTGGCTGCCTTCACCCCATATCCCAGCACCACCACCCATCAGGGTCGTGTTCTCTGGAGTCTCTGAGTGTCTAGGTCTCCAGCCAGGCACAGTCGTGATGGGAAAGGGACAGGGCGGTTTAGGAGACCTGGTTAAGTGGCACCTGCCTATCCAAGCCCCACTGGAGTCTCTGCCACACAAACTGGGTTTCAGCCATGCGAAAGGTTTTGCCTCGCCAATGATCCCCCAGGGGAGTTCTGTGCACAGAACTCTCTTCCTCCACTCAGGAAGTGGCCTCCTGCGGTGCCATCTCAGATTGACATGGCGGGGTTTTCCAGAATCTTGGGTGGGGTGACAAGTTGTCTTCTCATTTGCATGGAATATTCTGAGATCTGGTCAGGGAGGATCCCCTAGGAATGCATGATGAATCCCCCAGTCATGAGCTTGTGTCACTGCTAACTGGTGACAGTCCTGTGACATGACCGTTTTCGGGTATCTGCAAAGGGCAGAGCGGGGAGTCCCAGGAAACACGTATGTCTGTCCTGAGCGTGCCCATTGGTACCCATAGCTGTGAGGTCCACTGGACTCCCTGGCACATGATCTTCCTTTGTTTTCGTTCCCCCTCTCCCCCAGTGTGGGCAGAGGCCTCCTGCCCGTGGAGATGGGCTGCAGACAGAAGCAGCAGCAGAGGCCTGGCTTCCTCAGGAATTGCCGGCCAGTTTGTGGAAGGAAGAAAGTCCCAACTACCATAACCATCCCCCAGCCTGGAGGAAGCTCCATGCCAGCAGCATGGACCAGCATGGGAGCCAGAACCCTGCTAATGCTGCAACTCATCACCCCGGCTCGGCAGCCCAGCAGCCGTTGCCACATCCCATTTCCAGGGCCTCCCGCCCCTGTGCCCCCACCTGCCCGTGGACCACACACCTCTCTCCCTGTTGGCCCTAGGTAGGCATGGAGTAAATTTTTCAAGTCCACTTTTAGTAGATGAGTCAAAACAAAACAAAATAACCGCTCCACACCAGGTCCAATGCCCTTCCAAACTCAGTCTTTCCTCTGACCCTTAAACATTTGTCCCGCATCTCCCAGACTCCACTGTACTTTGATCAGCAGGTCCCGCTTCACTGCAGTGTCTGTTTTGCAGAGTTGTTTTAGATATTTTGTGCTTTTGCTATGGACAGAGGAAAGAAAGAAGGGTAAATTTGTGAATAAGCGGAGAGATTTGTGAGTTCCCATCCAATCCCTTTTGTTTGAAAACCCAGAGAATCCCAACTTCATGGGTGAGAGTTTCCAGTGGGGTCCTCTGTTGACAAGGTCTGCAGAGGACCAGGGTGGGACCTGTCATGCTCCTCCCCTGGCCCATCTCCACTTCACATGAGCCCCTGCGTGTTCACAGTTAGCTTCCAGCTGGACACAGTTCCACTGCTGGGTGCAAACACCTGAAAGCCTCCAGTTGGCTCCAGTCTGTTCCTGATGGTTAAAAATCCTTAGTCCTGAGTTGGAAATCCTTGCCTAGAAGTCCAGGGCAGCTTAGTGACCACACCTACCAGCCCATCCCTGCCTCCAGTGTCCCTGGTCTCCAAGAACCTTTCAGAGTCGAGGGCACGTGGGGAGACCTATGGGTCCCTAGGTCAACCCTGGTGCTCCCGTGGAGGGAACCCTCCTCACCTGGACACTGCTGCCCATGTCTTGTGTAGCCGATGTATTGGGTTGCTGCACAGAGCAGAGACGATGGCGTGCACCGAGGAGAAGTTGTTGAGGCTTAGGCACTCCTGGAGAGGGAAGAGTGAGCTGTTAGGTCCAGAGTTGCAGCCCGACCCACTTCAGCCTCAGCCCCCTCTGCTGAGATCTCCCTTCCTGGACAAAGCAGAGGCCCAGGGAGCCTCAGGAGGGCACACCTGGGGCCGAGTGAATGTCACTCATCTAGGATTTTAGTTCAACCCAAGGAAGAGCCCAGGTCAGAAGTGAGCAGCCCCCACTGGGCCATGGGAGTCAAGGTCAGTGAAGCTCTGGTAAGAAGGGCCTAGGGGATGTGCAGGGCTCAGGCCAGAGATACAGATGCCAATCCTAAAGCTGATGGAGGAGAAGAGGCAGTTCCCCATTTTTAAAGAGGGAATCTTCAGGCCCAATCATAGCTTACCCTGGCCACCTTGATCCAGTGCTCCACCACCCTGGCCCTGTCCTGGGCCCTCATGCCGTGGTTCCCGAGGCAGGAGGTGGTGACGCAGTTGGCGAGCCTGTTGAAGTGTGCGATGGTGGCACGAACTGTGGGTGCCACGTGCTCATTCCCCTTCTTAGCTCGTCGGCCCCAGATGGAGCCCAAACATTCGTAGAGCTCCACCTTCTTGAACAGCTCCTTTGGGGGTAGGAGGAGAGTGTCACAGACAGAGCACACTCCAGCTCAGAGTCACCCACAGTCCCAGGCAGGGACTGAGCTCACAGTCATCCACGATCTCTCTCAGGAACTGAGCTGGAGCTCAAAAAGCTTTAAAATGGGCCTCAGACGTGTGGGAGTCCCTGGCTTTGATTTTCTGCCCACCGAGGGCCCTGAATGCATCATGTCCCAGAACCCAACAAGAGTGGGAAGAGAGAGTGACATTTTCTCCCAGGCCATCCGCACTTCCAAGAACTAGAGGGTGGCTCAGACCTGCCCGTCCTGAGGACTCATCTTCCTCCCATGCAATCATCCCTGTACTCTTTCTCTCCATACCGGTGCACTTTCCCTGTGGCAGCTGCAACTATGGGCTCTGTTTGGGTGTCTGCCATAGAATCTAGTATGCATCAGGTACCTAATAAGCGCTGAGGGTAGTGAGGCTCCTGAGCAGCTGGGTGAGTGACCCATGGCCCTGCCTGCCCCTCAGTGATCACCGCCCTGCCCTGCTTTCTGTCCATCCCCTGTCTTTCAATCTGTACAGTCCCTCTGTGCAGCTGGCACGGGCGATGTCCCATCTCTGCTGTCCACATGCAGACAGGGAAGGCTTGTGGATGAGGAAACTCATCCGGATCCCGTGGTTGGTAAGAAGTGGAGCTACAATTGGTCCCAGGGTATGGGCCACTTCTCAGGGAGAGGCTGGTCTGAGACAGCTGGTGCCAGAACCACAGCCTGCAAAGCCTAGTTGCTCACCGCATCCATAAGGGTCAGCTGCTCTGCCAGCAGCCTGGGAGGGAAGGTCGTGACATCAGGCAGCTCCTCAGTGGGTTGGCTGTTTACAGGAGAGGAACAGGGGGACTCTGGGGCTGACTGTGGCTCTAGCACTGTCACTGGAGCAGACCCTTCGCCTGGTGCTGGTGCTGGTGGTGAATGTAGATATCCTGGTGCATCTGGGGCCGCACGTGACTCTGGCTCCAGAGCAGGCCCCAGTTCCACCAGCAGTGGTGGTGCTGGCTCCAGGGCCGGCATTGTTAATGCGTGTGGCCCAGGATGTGGAGCAGGATCTGGAAAAGGAGAAAAGGTCACCCCACCAGTCACTTTTCACTGGGCTTTCCAAGCACAGAAGTGACTGAATGGAATTTAAGGGACTTGTAGCCCCAAAACACCACCCCTGGAAACTCTTCCAGACTGCAAGCCACCTCACCATCTGGCTTGGCCTCGTTGGGCTCCGGAGGCAGCAACTGGCCTAGGACAAGTTCCTGGTGGTCCTCCACGCCCAGTCCAGGCCTGGTGAAGTTCCTGAAGGCCAGCTTTATCTGGAAAGATGACCGTTGCGGGGGCTGATAGCACAGTGAAGTATTTTCAAGGGGCCAGGTGAAGAAAACGCAGGTGATGGTTCTGGTGATGGAGTGGGCAGCTGAGTCAGAGACCTGACCTTCTCCCACACAACCCTCCAGGGCACCCTTGTGTGGTTCTTGGCCCCTGACCTGTTGCAGCCTGTGTAGAGGACAGCCCCACCCTACCCCCAAGCCATCAGTGGTGACCTGGAAGGGGCAGACCTGGCCATGCAGCAGGACTGTACAGACCCTTCTGTGCCCCAGCGTCCTACAGACATTCTCTTCCCAAAGGCCCTGGAGCACAGCACTGTGCACCTGGGCACTCAAGATGGCAGCTCCCGGGAGATTTGTGAGCAGGTTGCTCATGAAAGCTCCAGCTCTGGGTCCCCTGGTCCTGGGGTTAGGAGGGTGGGGGCAGACGTAGAGTGGAGGAAGACAGGGAGAGCTGGGACGCCATGGTGCTGGGGATGAGTCAGTGGCCAGCTGTGACCCCGGCCTCACCTCTCCTTTGCAGGGCACCTAAGTCTCCATTTACAGAACTCACTATTTGCTTCTTGCGGGGGAAGTCCCCAGATGTCAGCTTTCTCGTGGGAATTTTAAGAGGTATGTGCCCCAGGGCTCCTTGAGTGTCTCCCCAGCCAGAGTCCATTCTTTTCCCCCATGTTTTGTGGGTGAAAAGGCCCTTCAGAACCCTAAATCCACCCAGTGTATACTTGTTGCTGGGCTCCGTCATTCTAGTCAGAATCTGGGAGGATGCCACCATATGTAGAAGAGGCCATGAGGGTTTCACCTCTAACATTCTGTAGATATGACCTGGTTATTCTGTCTCCTGTGAGCGCCTGACTCTTAAGTAGAATCGAGGCCCAGGGATTGTCATCTGCTTTGTTTATGACATAATGCCAAGCCATAAGAAGAGCGGTGCACAAATGAGGTGTTTTGTATGTATGTGTTGAATGTGTGAACCCCAACCAGTTCAGAACCCCAGTGAGCATCTCCAGTTGTCTGTGGGCCTGCGGCTCCCTTTTCAGCACCAAGAGACCCTTCTTCTGTCTGTGTCAAGAAGACCAGCCAGAAGGAATCTCAGACATCCTTTACCAATGCTATGGTAGATTTGCTTTGCTATGTGTTTTTCCAGACAGCGAAGGATATGGGCCATTGAGGCAGAATGCTGATAGCTGCTTCAGTGAAGGAGAAAAGTAATAAACATGAATCACAGCACCCCCAGCAAATTTTCCAGAGTTTTAGGCTCTAGTGACCCCTTTGTTTGCCATGTCTTAGATCATTCAGTCCCCACAAGAACCCTGTGAGGCTCATCTTCTGGCTACTCCCTGTTCCAGAGGAGCAAACCGAGGCTCCGAAAGCTGCATCTTCAAGACTCAGCCAGTAGGGCACAGAGGCTCCTCCGTGCCTTGGAGGGGATGGACACTCACCTTCTAACCAGCAGTTCCAAAAAGTGTGGCACGGTGATAAAGTCCCAGGAGGGGCCCAGGCAGGTGGCATAGGAGGAGATGGGTTTAGTTAGCAAGGCTGGAACCAGGGAGTCCAACAGCATCTCCCCTGTGCCGGGCTGGAAAGTTGGCATCCTGCAGATCTCATTTTCATACTAGGGTGACAAGGAGGGACATGGGAGTCAGTGGTAACACCATGAACCACCAGAGGATCGCGATCTGGAAGTCACACCAAGAAGCACCAGCCCTTCGGGGACTTGTGCATGTGGAGAACCTAATTGCCCATGGTGAAAAGGCTTCTAGGCTTTCCAAGTAAAATTGTATGTGAGGATGGAGAAGTGATAAAATGATTCACGCCTTCAAGGCATCGTCATGGTGTTTCTCAGCTGTGGGGCAAGGGCGCCCTCTGTATCAACAGCCTACATGAAGAGCATCATCCCTTCAATCCTCAAAAATCACCCTCATGGTAGAGAAGAGACATGGGCTTTTGGATGTCAAATGTCTGCTCAGCAGCACCCGGGCCAGAAGGGAACACCTTCCATGGGGAGGACTGGATGAAATTCCCTCTAGGCCACCTGAGGCTCCACTTCTGATACGCAGGGGAAGGGCCTGGGGAGGCCTCATCCCCTCCTCATTTTAGCGACAGCACACAGGACAAGAGGGATATGATTGTTTTTGTTCTTTTAACATGAACGTGATTCTGGAGAAACAGTTTTGGCCATCCCAGCCCTGGCCAAGTGGAAAATTCTGGAAGACTCTTGAGTGGGAGAAAGTGCATCCCAAGGCCCAGGATTTGCCAGGCGACTCGGGGAAGAGAAAACTTAGGCAGTTACTGAAGCCGTGAAAGGTTAAGCAAATGTATGTTTGAAAGTGGAAATGAAACTAGGTGATTTTCTCTGCCATCCAGACAGCAGACTGGTAAAAAGTTGAAAGCGTGTTAGTATTCAGGGGAGGCTGCATTCAGAGACGGAGCTACGTTCAGAGGCTGCTGGTGACCGTGTGACCAGCTGGAGCCCTTTTGGAAAGTCAACTGGCTAGAGCTGTTGAAACTTGCTATCTCCATATCTTTTCACCCAGATATCCCTTTCCCGGGTGTGTGTCTTCCACAGGGGATTTGTATATTTTATGGGTTGAATTGTGTTCCCTCCCCCAAAAGTAACTGTTTCTATTCTCAACCCCAGAAAATATGACTGTGTCTGGACACAGAGTACTCCAAGAGGTAATTGAGGTGAAGTGAGTTCATTAGACTGGCCCCTAATTTAATATGCCTGGGGTTCTAACAAGGAGAGGTGGTGAGCGCACAGAGAAGTTGAAGAGAAGACCCTGTACTGACCGAGATAGAAGTCAGCCATCTCCAAGGCAAGGAGAGAGGCCCAAAGAAACCACCCCAGGCTGACAGCTTGACGTTGGACTTCCAGTCTCCAGAATTGTGAGGAACCAGATTTCTGTGGTTAAGCCCTTCAGTGAGGGTGCCATGTTATGGCAGCCCTGGCAAACTGCTCCATACTATTAGGACACACATAGGATTACGCTCTCTGCGGAACAGGTGCCTAGAAAGGGAATTTTATCATGACAGGCTCCACCAGCACTGAGAGGCTGACCCCTGTGGAGCATGGCCTCCCTTAAGCAATATTACAGTGAGATGCGAGGGTGCAGCTCCTTCCTGATGGGGATGCAGGGATGAGTTCTGTGAGATGACACTTTAAAAACAGATCCATAAAGAAGCTTCACCTTCTTTTGTTGTAATCAATGTCCACCCCCACCTTATTTGTGTTAAAGTTTTGGATTTTAAGTCCTGCAGGAGGTCTCGCAGGGCAGGGCAGCAGAGATGCCTGTTGCCAGAGATACACTTTCGGTGGGGAGTTAAAATGATAACAGTATGAGTATGTTGCTACCGTGTTATCACTGTACTCAATTATTTGTGGCAACATGCGGAGATACTCCTGACATAGCATAAAGTGAAAACAAGGATGTTCCCTCATCTTCCTCTGATAGGTGAGAGGGACTTTGCCTGTAACCAGGTTGCCACTGGGTACTACTGGCAGCCAGATTCCTTTGGGAGAGGATAGTGGGTCACTCAAGTGGGAAATTCCTAGGACAGAGCTTAGGGAGTCCCCATATTCATGTCTGAGTCCTGGGCCTACCCTGGTTTTCTAGAGTCCCTCTGTGGAGACCCTTCTGTGCCCCGTCTCACCCCAGACCAGCACTGGCCGTGGTTGCTGGCGGTGGGCCCCTGCCCTTCTCTGAAGAAGATGGAGAACTGGAATCCATCCAACAGCTCCTGCTTGATCTGCTGTGTGGAGCTCTGCAAAGAGAGGGCCCGAGAGCCGGGCCAAGAGTTGTCAGTGGCCTGCCTGGCTGACCCCACAGTGGCACACCCCCATTAAAGCTCCTTCCTGGTGTCCCCATCCCCAACAGGATTTGGCACATAGGAGCATCCTGCATAGACCTCCAGCCAGAGAAGGTTGAGGTCTCCCACAGATGAATTGAGATTCACATCTGAGCGGCAAACTGTGTCCTCGACACTGAAGTTTCCATCCTGCCAGGCATGGTCTGGGCAGTGATCCTGACATACGTACCAGGCTGCAAACACCTGACAACCTACCTGTTCCTGTCCAGGGAGGGCCCCTCATCTCCTGTGTCCCCCAAACATATGGGGAGGGACTCGGTGTTGCCCTGATGGGCACAGCTGAGGCCTGGCCTTGACGATCCTGCCCTGGGCCCTGTGTTACCTGTGGGTGCCTTCTGGCAAAGGGCCAGAGGCGTCGAGGGTGAGGGTTGAACTAATGTCTATATTCTCGAGAAAGACTCTCATTTTGGCCTCTTCTGCGACGAGGAGGTCGGCAGCACGTCGGGACACAGCAGGAGAACATGTTGTTCTCCGGAGTGTTGCCCACCAACTGAACTGGAAATGGGGCTGTGTGTATAATATGGGTGCCTAGTTACCAGCATTCTAAGTTCTACTGGGGGTCTGTTAGCAAGGAAGTGAGGTCACATCTTGTAGGTTCCATCCTGTAAGCATCTCCTTTCCATAAGACCTACTCAAAGGCCCCTCTGGGCTTCTGGCCGCTCACCCTCCCCCGTCAACTCCTTTACCTGTTCACCATTATGCAAAAGTGTGCCTCTTCAGCACCTTGGGAAGACCTGGATATAACCGGGGTCCCGGATTTGAAGAGCCAGTGCTGGGTCAAACAGTCTTTATCTTAGCAGTTGTGAGACCCTAGAGAACTCCTTTGGTGTTTTGGACTCTTCCCCACCTTGCACAATGGGAGTTATGCTAGCATCATAACCCTTCCTAGGGAACTCCTGAGGTGTGTTTGAGATAAATCTTAAAAAACTGATGGTGTGGTGGTCCCTGTAGATATTGCACATACTTCGAGATGGAAGAACTACAAGAAGGGGTGAGAGGTAGCATGGAATACAACTCCAGTGGGCCTGGGGTCCACAGTGTGATCTCAGGAAAAGGCACTTTTGCTCTGGGCCTCGTCTTTCATGCTGCAGTACTATACGAGGTTGAGATTAAATGAAATTCAGACATCCTCCTGCTCTGACATTGTACCTTCCAGTGTCTTCCCATTTTATTTAGACCCAGACCCTATGCCTCATCTCAGCCTTGGGTGGGCAGCATCCACAAAGATGGCACTGAGGGCTTAGTGACTCCCTTGTGAATGGTAGAATAGGACACAGATAGTGGAATAGCACTTCTGGGCCAGTTCAGGCTATTTCAGCAAAGAACCGTAGCCTGGGGAGCTCATCAAGAAGAGAATTGTTTCTCCCAGTTTTGGAGGCTGGAAGTTGGAGATCAGGGTACCAGCCTGGTCAGGTCTTAGTGTGGACACTTCTTCCCCATTCACTGAGCTGTTACAGGTGCTGTCCTTTCCTTGGAGGACAGCTTAACTTCAGGAGCATGGGTGGACCTCCGTTCAAAGCCCCGCTCCCACTTGTAGCTTGGTGATCATGAAGTAGTCATAGAGCATCCTTGTGCCTGTTTTCTCCTCTGAGAAATGGCATTAGTGAGAATTGCTTCCCTTTCTAATCACACAGAATAAAGCATGGAAAGAAGTTAACTCGGTGCTATTGGGCAGAGAGTGAGAGCCCAGCAAACCAGAGAGATCAGCTTGCCCACATTAGTGGTGAGGAGTACGGAGAGTGGGTGAGGCTGGGGCAGGAAGCAGGCCAGCCTGCCAGAGCCCAGGAACAGGTGAAGGGCAAGAGTGAGCTCCTCACCTTGAATTCTCAGGAGACACAGGCGTGCAGGAGCTGTGGGGAGCACAATCATCAGGGCTGCTCTCATTCCCCTGGTTCCCTCCATATCCGACGTGGTCCCAGGGCCCATTCTCCCTGTGTTTCCTCTCTACCCCGCTTTCTTCCTGGCTGCCCTCTTTGGACTCATTTTGGCCCTGGTCAGGTGGAGTCTTGAGGTAACTATAAGCCTGTTAATAACTCCTCTGAAGTTCAACCCGTCATTTATTGAGACCTCTGAGCTTAGTCATAAACCACCTCCTGCTGGGACCTGAGAGAAGGCTGGAGGGAGCTGACAGTGCAGTGGCAGTTTTTCCTGCGGTTGCCACTACAGGGCCCACTGGCAGGTATCTGCTGAATTCGAGCTTTCTTTTGGGTCTCTGGGGTTCTGAGGTGTGATTTTCCATCTGAAGATCAGCTGAGCCCCCAGTGGGTGCCTTAGCCTCAGAAATGGGTCCCCCTGGCTGGGAACTGTGCTCTACCCTCACTTTCGTAGAACACCTCACACCTCGCCCTGCCCATTCCGGCTTCCGAAACCCACATAGACGCTCTGTAGAAATTGCTAAATACAAAAGGGCTACAAATAAGTAATAGGAAGTGTATTTATATAAGGCGGTGGCTTTCAACCATTACTATACGTTTACTTCAGCAAAGGCGAAATTTAAAAATGTTAATACTCTGAGTCACCCGCAGAGATTTGGATTTATTTGATGGGGCAGGAGACACAGGTATCTTTGGTTTGGTTTTGTTTTTTCTTTTTTGAAATCGGACCATGCAGTGTTTCTCAGGCTGTAGCACAGTGGCACCATCTTGAGCACTGCAGCTTTGATCTGCCAGGCTGAAGGAATCCTCCCTTCTCAGCCTCTCACGTAGCTGGGACTATGGGCATGCACCACCATGCCATGCTACATTTTGTGTATTTTGTAGAGGTGGGATCTCACTGTTCCACCCAGGCTGGTCTTGAAAGTCCTACCCTCAAGCTGTTGTCCTGCCTCAGCCTCCCACAATGCTGAATTTACAGTTGTGAGCCACCGTGTCTGGTCCTGTTTCTTTTAAGAGTTCCCTTAGTGTTTCTAATGGGCATTCAAGCAAAGAAGATTTTGCTTGCAGAAGGCTCGCGGAACACTACTGAGGCTGCATCTTCTTCACAGCCAACAGATTGTTCCCTGAAGTGTCTGCTTAGCAGTGCACAGGCTATTTATATCCTGGACTTTATGGAGCTGTTGGGTTTGGGGGCTGACTGGGGCATGAGTGTTGTCTCTGGGATCTGTCACAACCTGGTCCTATGGGACACCCAGTCAAGGATCCTCCTTCCCAGACCACCATCCTGCCTCTCACTACTCCTATGGCAGGAGAACAAAGGTCATGACTCCATGGTCAGAGACATCCACAACAGGAATGAAGTTGAGTGAGTCGTGAGGAGGGGCGGGGCACAGCTGCTTGCTGGAAGAGTGTTGGAAAGTATTGGTCCATCAGCTGTCACATCCTCCTGTTGCTGTTGAATCCCAGCGATCCTCACTTGGAGTCTGGGTCTCAGAAGGTTGTGGCACCTGGGTTCTTCGCTGGCTGAGCTGGTGCTTTTGCAGTCCACTTTGGAGCTTTGGTATGTGAAGCCTGACCTGAGTTGCTTCAGGAAACCTTTGTCCCTCAGGCTGCCTCCTGCTTAAGAGCAGAGCCTTTGTGTGGAGATCTGGCTGGCCTCCCTAGCTCCCAGCCTGTCCTGTCCTGTTATGTCTGGGTTTGAGGTTGCGTGGAGGGGTCTCTTGCCATAGAGGAGGCAGTAGCAGTCGTGTGGATCAGAGTGAAGAATGGCGATCCCTGCTGGCTGTGCCTGGCCTTTGACTGGAGGAGTCTGAGAATGACCAGGCCTGGGGAGCTGTCATTCCTCAGAAACAGCATGTCTCCTCCCCTATTGTGGAGTTTCTGGATGTGACCCAGAGTGTGCTGGGCCTCTTTCGCTTGTGCTGGGTTTAGCTGTGTGTTTCAGGGTGGGAGGTGCAGGGGATCATCTGCTCTGAGCCAGATAAGCCTGGCGAGGATTGGGGGGCGGCCCTCGAGGAAGCCAGATCTGGTAGGAGAGTAGGCATGGATAGGGAGGGAACAGGGTCACCAGGGTTGTGTGTCACCTCTTCTCGCTCCTTGGTCTGCCCGGCAAGTGAGAAGAGAGGTGGAGGCTGCTGTGGACCCTCTTTGGCTTCCTGCAAGCAGGTGTTCTTTTGGGGAGCAAGGCAGGTGGGAGACAAAGCTGGTCTCTGAGGTGTTGAGTGGTTCTTTGTATGTCATTGTGCTTTTCCTCTCTGCCATCCCCAACAGCTCTACTGTAGCAGCCCATTGACCTAGTAAGTCACTCAGAGCATCGTGGTCCTACACATGGGTGTTACGGCCCCTTAAAGAGCCAGAGAGGGCTTAGGAGTTTCTCAGAAGACTGAGCCCAGGGTTGGAGGGTGCCAGAGTCACTGAGAACAGCCCATTTGATAAGTTGGGCAGAGGGATCGTGGGCCCTGAGTATGCCTGCCTGACCGGTGGTGACTATGCCAACAGGGCCAGGGCCTCAATAGAGCATAGCTACTGAGCTTGACATTTGGCCAGTTGCTCTCTTGGTGCAGGCAGGAATGTTCTGCTTCCCCAAACCCTGTGTTTTGGTCTCCATTTTCCTTGGAGCAGCTGCAGGGTAGGTAGAGGGGTGTGTCTCCCAGCTGCTTGGTGAGATGAGCGTCCACCCAGCTACCTCTGCCGGGGAAAAAGAGTAATGACTGCAGCAGGGAGACAACCGAGGCGGGGCCCTTTTAGAGTCAACCCTGCTGCTCCGATTCTAATTTTCAATTCAGATTTTGCAGGCCTGAGTGTGGGTCCCTGAGTACCTGCCCTTTGAATTTTTTGGCGAGGACTTAGCAGTCCCCAGGAGCCTCTCACTGAGCCCCAAACACACAGCCCCCAATTCACCACCTCATCCCTTACCAGGACCTGCTGAAGCACACACCTGTGGACCACCCAGACTGCCTGCCAGTACAGGATGCCCTCCGCATCTCCCGGGACTTCTTTCTGTCATCAGTGAGGACATTGACCCCGCTGGACTGCAGTCACAATGGACTCCCAATGGGGAGGTGAGCTCAGGGCCCAGCAAGGCCTCACGCTCAGGTTGAGGAGCCCAGGGTGGACCAGATCCCCAGTCTCTTCTCTGATGGCACAGGCATCGCTCTGTGCCCCTTGTCTCTGCAACCCTGATGCCCCATTCCCAGCCAAGGAGAGGTCTTCAGTCCCGGGTCACGCTGATTTGATTCCGCGTGGCATTCTGGGCCCTAGGCTGAGAGCTTTAAGCCCAGTGTCTCAGTCATCCTCCAGAGAATCCAGTGAGCCAGAAGAGGACACAGGCCCAGAGCGTCTCTCCAGGTCCACCGCACAGTCTTTGAGCTGTGTCAGAGCTGGATTCTTTATCTGGGGCTGGCTGTTTGGAGGCCCCAGGCATTGTCCCCTGCACCAGGGAATTCGGCCTGTGGCTACCTCATTCTTGAATGCAGACAGACACCTGCCTGTGCCATCAGGGTGACCTGGGAAGCTGAGGGAGCAGGACATGTCAGCCACTTCAGATTGGCCTGCACGAGCAAGAGCCAGAAAGGGAGCCCCACAGAGGGAAAGCCTGGTAGTAGAGGTGGCCGAGGCCATTCAGGTTGCTGGAACATTCCACGTGGGCTCCTGGATGTCAGACAGCAGTTTCCCTGGGGGCCCTTCTTGATGCAAGGGTGAGGCTTAGCCCAATGAGGGAAAGCAACACTCAGCATTAGAGGCACAATTAACCCCTGTGTGTCAGCATCCTGGCCCAGATCAAAGGCTTCCTGACCGATAAGAGGTTGTTATGTGGCCCTTAGGAGGGAAGACTGCCTGGGTTCATGCTCGTTTGTTACATTTGTGAGCGAGGGGCGGGTCTGGAGAGTGTCTGATGGTGCATAGGGAGCTGTTTCTGTGCAGCTGCTGGTGCCAGTTTGCAAAACCATGGAATGTCACTAGTTTGTTTTGGTCTGGGGATATCTGAAAAATGTTTTAAGACTTAGAGTAGCATCGGTTGCAAGTCATCTTAACTGTACGCTTTCAGTACACGCAGCTACATATTGCAGTATACGAAGGTCACACGGTGTGCCATGGAGACAGGAAAGGCTGGAACAGATGGTCGCAGCCCCATTGAAGCCCTCCTGACTCTGAAGGTGGCTGAGGGGAAACTGGAAATCCTCATGGAGTAGAAACCATCCAGAGCTGTGATGAGAGGCATCTGCCAGGTCTCCCCAGGACACTTCTGCAGCCCGACTGAAGGCAGCCCAGAGTCTCCCATCCCCTGGGTGTGTTTTTTTAAAATCTGTCCGTCATGTATGTATTTGGGTTTGGTATTTGGTTCCCTCATTGTGTCTGTCGTTCTGTATTTTTGTGTTAATGCCAAAACCATGTTGTTTGGATCACTATGGCTCTTCTATGTCATTTGTAATCAGAAAGCATGATACATCCATGTACTTTGTATTTCCCAGTGGCGAGATTGGTAGATGACGTAGTGGTTGTATTTTTCGTTTGAGGAGGAACTGCCGACTATTGCTCATAGTGTGTACACCAATTTCCATTGCCACCTATAGTATCTAAGAGGTTCCCTGTCTGCACATCCACACTGGTGATTGCCTGTTAAAAATTACGTTTTTGCTTTTGGCAACATTCATTTTATGTGGATGGAGACTCTCTCTTAGTGTGGCTTTGGTTTACATTTTTGTGATGATTAGTGATGTGGACAAGCTTTTCCTTTACCTGTTCATTTCCTGCCTTCTTTTCAGAAATGTCTTTCGGTTCTTTGACCAAGTTTTGTTGGATTGTTTGGTTTGTTTATTTTCTCACTCTGTATAGTTTCTGGTATATGTCAGATGAACACCTTTAGCTACATGATTCCTTATACTCAGCGCCTGGCAGCATCCTCTGCTCATTCCATCTCTTCTGGTCAATGACCACTGCCTGTGTCTCATTCTTCTCCTCCCCAGGGCAGGGCCCAGACTTCCTGCCTCCCATGTTTCCTGCCTCCCATGTTCCCAGTGCTGGGCCAGCCACATGGCACAGTGTCCAGTGCCTTTCTGGGTGATGGGCAGGTCAGTTGGCATGGAAAACGGTGTCTGGGATTTCTGAGTTGACTATTGAATGCAGACTCACCCCACTCACAACCAGTCACCACCACTGCCACCAAGCAAACCACCCGGGAGCCTGGAAATTGCTCTGCCCACTTGTTGCCATGGGTACAGACACCTATCATAGGGAGAACCGAGAAGAGACCCAGCCCACCTGTCCCTGGTGCCCAAGGATGACATTCAGGGGATCACCCCAACCCACGAACCATAACCTGTGTCCATGCAGGCTCCCACAGGGCCTAAGGACAGGCTGACCCCTCCCAGAGATCCTCCACCTCACAAATGCACAAGTACTCCATCTAGGGACCAGAGGATAGACCTGCCCTGCCTGCCACTTCTGGTTTGTGCTTGCACCAGCAGGGGGCCTAACAACAGGCCAGATCACCTGCTGCCAGCATCCAAGCATGCCATCTTGGGGCCTGGGGATCACCCTGCTCTATGCATGAGCACCGTCGGGGGCCCCGGGGCCGGTTCATCCCACCTGGCATATGTATGCATGAACTGGAAATGTGTTTTCCTGTCGGGCGCAGTGGCTCACACCTGTGATCCGAGCACTTTGGGAGGCCAAGGCAGGTGGATCAGCTGAGGTCAGGAGTTCGAGACCACTCTGGCCAACATGGTGAAACCCCGTCTCTACTGAAAATACAAAAATTAACTGGATGTGGTGGCACACGCCTGTAGCCTAGCTACTCTGGAGGCTGATGCAGAATTGCTTGAACTCGGGAGGTAGAGACGGAGGCTGCAGTGGGCTGAGATTGCGCCACTGCTCTCCAGACTGGGGGACAGAGTGAGACTCCATCTCAAAAAGTGAAAAAAGAAAGAAAAACAATGTGTTTGGGGGCTGGGATACTTTCAACAACTCAGAGACATGGGGAAGCAGTTGATACGACACAGAAAAGCCCGTGGCAGATCCAGCTGACAGATGTGATAGCAGTTCTGCTGTTATAAAGCAGTCTTTGTTTGACGTTAAGGTTTGTCACAGCTCTTGAAATTTTGTCAGTGAGGTTGAAGGTGTCTCAGAAAGTCCACTGACCCTTGTATTGCATATGCATGAATAAAGTAACAAAAGTTTTTTATCTTTCTGTAGAAATAAATGTGAACTTGGGTTAACTTTCTGAGCCGGTTCCTTGGAAACCTGGAAAAGGCGGAATGTCATCTGTGTTGGGTTACCAGACTACAAATAAAAACATCCCGTAGTTGGTCATCATTATCTGAATTGGGAGAGCTATGAATGAATTGTAAACAATGGGGGCGTCTAGAGTTAGAGAAGAGTAATTGCAATTGTGGAAGTCTGCCATCAGTTGGACTTTGCTGTTATACATGTTTTGAAGTCTATGGTCAACTTTTTGGTGGTTTACTTTGGAGAAAAAATCAAGAGGTAAACCATACTTTGGGTTTCCCTGAGTGCAGTGGTATTTGTAACTAGGCATGTCCCTTGCTGGGACCCTTGAAAACTTTGACGATGGGACTGTTAAAAGAAATCTCAGTTCCTTTTTGAGACACAGGCTTTTAAGCCGGGTAGCCCTGTGCCCTCCCATGTGACCTTGTTCCTTTGCACCTGAGGTGTCACTTGGGGAGCAGGATCCAAAGAATAGCCCCTGGACTGACGTGTGCACAGCCATGAGGACTCCTGCTAAAGACACAGGCACGATACCAGTCTGCTGGCACACGGTGTTTCGTGTCTTGTATCCTTCTACATGATACCAATGGCCCTATTGGCTTCATAGGGACTCTTTGAGCCACGTGAATGTTAGATGTATAATTGAGCTGTGGCCAGCCGAGGGCACGGTGGCATGTCAACGTCACTAATCATCAGAGAAACACAAATCAAAACCACAATGAGATATCATCTCACCCCAGTTAAAATAGTTGTTTGTCAAAAAGGCAGGCAATAATGAATACTGGTGAGGATGTGGAGAAAGGGGAACCCTCAAACACTGTCGGTGGGAATGTAAACTCCTGACCTCAAATGATCTGCCGGACTCCTCAGCCTCCCACAGTGCTGCTGAGATTACAGACGTGAGCCACCATGCCTGGCTACAAATGGTATTGTTTTATATGTGACTGTTCGTTTCAAGTACATTGAATGCAGTTCCCTTCTGCCTGTTTGTGTTGTATCACAAAACCCATAATGAAGCTCTAAGACCAGAGCATTTGTGAGCCACTCTTGGATTTTGAATGGTACATGGATGGACTCAGCCTCTTTTAATTCCTCTAATGAATCCCATGAGATTTTAAAAAAAACATTCACTTTAGATTCAAGGGGTACATGTGCAGGTTTGTTACATGGGTATATTGTGCAATGCTAAGGTTTAGAGTATGAATGATCCCAGCACCCAGATAGGACCCCATATGTAGGTTTTCAGCGCTCACCCTCTCTCCCCTCTGTGGTTGTCCCCAGTGTCTGTTGTTCCATCTTGATGTCCATGTGTACCCAGAGCTTACCTCCACTTGTAAGTGAGAACATGTGATATTTGGTTTTCTGTTTCTGCTTAATGTGCTTTAGATATGGCCTCCAGCTGTATCCGTGATACTGCAATGGACATAATTTCATTCGCTTTTATGGCTGAGTAGTATCCCATAGTGTGCATGTACCACATTTTCTTTATCCATCCACCGCTAATGAGCATCTAGGTTGATTCCATGTCTGTGCTCTTGTGAACAGTGCTGTGATGAACATACAGGTGCAGGTGACTTTTTTTTTTTTTTTTTTTTAAGAATGATGTATCTTCCTTTGCAGATATCACCAGTCATGGGATTGCTGGGTTGAATGGTAGTTCTTCTGTAAGTTCTTTGAAAAATTTTCAGAGTGCTTCCCACCATGGCTGAACGAATTTACAGTCACACCAACAGTGTATAAGTGGTGGTGTATGCCTGTAGTCGCAGCTACTCTGGAAGGCTGAGGCAGAATTGGTTGAACCTGGGAGGCGGAGGTTGCAGAGAGCCAAGAGCGCCCCATTGCACTGCAGTCTGGGCAACAAGAGTGAAACTCCATCTCAAAAAGAAAAGAATTTGCAAAACTCAATAATAAAACATGAGGAAAAAACTTGAACATACTTAAGATACAGATGGCAAAGACACACACGAAAAGATGTTCAACATCATTAGTCATTAGGGAAATGCCAAAATTAAAGCCACAGAGATACTGCTACACACACAGAAGAATGGCTAATGTTTAAAACCTGACCATGCTACGAGCTATTGAACATGTAAAGCAACAGGAACTCCCAAACACTGCTGATGGGGATGTAAAACTGCACCACCACTTTGGAAAGCAGTTTGACAGTTTCTTAAAACATTAAACATGCATCTACCGGCCGGGCGCGGTGGCTCAAGCCTGTAATCCCAGCACTTTGGGAGGCCGAGACGGGCGGATCACAAGGTCAGGAGATCAAGACCATCTCGGCTAACACTGTGAAACCCCGCCTCTACTAAAAATACAAAAAACTAGCCGGGTGAGGTGGCGGGCGCCTATAGTCCCAGCTACTCTGGAGGCTGAGGCAGGAGAATGGCATAAACCGGGAGGCGGAGCTAGCAGTGAGCTGAGATCCGGCCACCGCACTCCAGCCTGGACGACAGAGCGAGACTTCATCTCAAAAATGAAAAACAAAAAATGCATCTACCTTATGATCCCCACATTCCACTCCTAGGTATTTACCCAAGAGAAAAGGAAATATATGTGCATGCAAAACCTATACATGAGTTTTCATAGCAGCTTTATTTGTAATAGCCCAAACTGGAAACAACTCAAACGTCCATCCGCAGATGATGAATAATTGTGGCACACCGTCCTGCAGAATACTCCGCAATAAAAAGGAACTACTGATACACGTGAGTGAGTCTCAAAATAATTAGCTAAGTGAAAAGCCATTTAGAAAAGAGTACTTGGGCCGGGCATGGTGCCTAGCAGTAATCCCAACACTTTGGGAGGCTGAGGTGGCAGATAACTTGGAGGTCAGGAGTTTAAGACTAACCTGCCAACACGGTGAAACCCCATCTCTACTAAAGATACAAAAATTAGCTGGGTAGGGTGGCATGGGCCTGTAGTCCCAGGTACCTCGGAGGCTGAAGCATGAAAGAGCTACAGTCTGGGAGGTGGAGGTTGCAGTGAGCTGAGACTCTACCCCAGTGTGGATGACAGAGTGAGACTCCACCACACACACACACACACACACACCACACACACACACACACACAAAGTATATTTACATATCCCAAAATCTATAAAATGCAAACTATGGAAACAAAGTACATCAATGGTTGCTTTTGAATGGCGGTGGGGCAGGGAGAGACAGGAG